ACGTGGACCTGAAGGTGGGGCCGGACACCACTCCTCACGCCCTCCTTGCCTAAGCCAGCCTTGCTTGCAAGACCGTGTAGAAAAAGGGACTGAAGTGAGTGTGAAAATAGGAGAGTGTTGCATTCTCCACTTTTGGGGTACTCAAACAGAGCACCCCAAAGTTGTGGGCCCTGATTTCATGGGATGATAGCATTTGGTGATGTTTGCCAAAGGCCCAGGCAGGAGCCCTAGTGAGTAGAAAGAAAGCCAGGAATGGTGGGACACAGAGCTGGAGCCCCTAGGAAGAGCTGAGTTCCAGCCCTGTGTCTGCCTCTAACCCTGCAGCCTCATCTTGGGCAAGTGACATCCCACTCAGGGCCTAAGCATCCTCCTACTAAAACGAGGGCCTTGACTATGATAATCACTGTGGGTTCCTTCCAGCTTTAACATTCTTTGGCCAATACCCAGACAGTTCCTGGAGAGATCCTAGGACTGAGCTAAACCGAGTGGCCAGGCAGGAAAAGCCACTTCCCCTCTCACTCTTCTGAATTTATAAAATATATAAAAAACGATATCATAACAGAAATCATGGAAAGCAATGGAACTGGAAATAAAAGGAGGGATTCTCTGGATACTGGGGGAGGGGAGCAGAAGCCTACAGGGGTAGGCTTGTTTATTGTTGTTGTTTATTTGATAATTTATTTTTGCAAATATGTAATAGGCTTGTTATTGTTCCTTATTTATTTGATGCTTTATTTTTGCAAATATGCAATCAATCTTAATTGTTTTTAATAACATGTCCAGATTACAATTTAAGGATAGTCTCTGGGAATTAAAACTTTTGAACTAACTGTAGTATAAAGGCAAAACTAAAACTAAACAAAAATCCTGCAAGTTGCCTACTTGTCTCTTACTGCAACCACTCTCTCACCCTCTTCCCCTCTGCTCCGGGTCCCTTGTTGGTACCTGGTTGATTATGGTGTTCTTCCAGTTTCTGGATGCTGGTAGGCCTGAAATGTGGTGATCCTTTCTCCAAAGTTTTATTTCCCACACATTAAATATCTTAGAGTCTCATAGGCATTGCTCAGGTATAAAGTAAAACTTTAGAAAAATATTACCCCACTTTCCCGACAGCTCCTCCCCCATCCCTTAAGGAGACCAGGGCTTCTGCAGGGATTCCTGCTCCCATGCCCTCTGCTGTAACCCTCATGGTGACCTCTGGCTCCTGGGGTCAGCCTGGTCCTCCGCAGCAGCTGCAATCCCACCTGCCTGCTCAAATCCAGCCCAAGCCCCAGGACCAACTCGCAGCTGCTCTGACTTAAAACTCAAGCCCTCAGGGGGTGCCTTAGAGTTGGGGGGTGGAGACGGGTGGGGGGGAGAGTGGGAGAGGATAAGAAGGGGAAAAAAGAGAAATGGAAAGAAAATGAGCTCCTAGTAACTGTGCTTGTTCTTCCAGTCTGAGCTGACACAGCAGAAAGAAGGGGGGAGGTGGCAAGAAGAGTTGAATTAAAGCCCCATCTCGCTTCTTCCCAACTAGGTTTTGGTTGGCTCAGGGCACAGCCATCCTCTCAAAGACTTGTTTCAAAGGGAGGGGGTGCGGGTGAGAAAGGAATCTGGCTCCTTCAGTTTTCCGTGATCTTGCTCAACTCAGACATAAATCTGGCCAATAAACCTAACTCTGGAACTTGACTTCAACATGGCATTTGGACCAGGCTTGGAGTTGAAGCCAGGGTGATGGAGGCCAAACCCCTCAAAGAAGCAAAGGCTAAATTCGTTTTTATTTAGGCATTTTTTCCCTTTCTTTTCCAGAGCATATTTTCTGCCCCTCTTTGTCTCTTATTTCTCAATGATGGAACAGAAACCCAGACCACTGCTCCCTGCATCTCAAACTTAATATTTCACCAGCACAAGAGAGACCCCCCCCCCCCAGCAACCACGCTGGGCACCAGCCCCTCAGGTCACAATGCTCCTTTCCCTGAGCATCGTTGCCCAAAGCAAAGTTCCATCCTGCCTTGGCTCACTGCAGCTCACGTATATTTACTGAGAGCTTGGCCCAATAAATAACTCCTGTCTCTCGCCTCCCTCCAGCCTCACCCCTCCTTTCTGTATCTATCTCTGACCCTGAACTGGCCAAAATAAGATGCAGGGCCGGGAGCTGACTCTCTCTCCTGTTGCTCAGCAACCGCCGGCAAAACAGCGGTCTCCACCCGCCCTCTCCTCTCCCTCCCAGAAGCTTTGGCCTCCTGCCACCTCACTCTCCTCTGCTCCCCATTTCTGATTCTAGAAATGCACCTTTTGAGGGGTTATATATAAAGATATATAATACAGCCTATGTGATATTTAAATATAGCCTATACGTAAGTATATATGACATAGCCTGTATTATAGATAGCCTATGTTATATATGAATCTATATAATATAGCCTATATTGTAGAGACAATATAGTATTTGGATATAATATATATCATATGATATAGTATGATATATATGTGTGTGTATGTATGGATATATATGTTGCAATCGCGGGGAGGGCAAATCCACATCTGCACTGCTCAGATTTTGGTGGCGGGGGGAGTGGGAGGTGGGAGGTGGGAAGTAAGTTGGGGAGCAGAAATTTTGGCTAAAGGACTAAAGGGACACCCTCTTCCCTGTCCATTTCCCTCTCCTTAAGAACTGTCGGTGTACAATCTCCACTTTTTGGGGACCCACCCAATGGTTCTCTAGGTGAAAGGTCCTCTCCAAGGGGCACCCACTTCCACTCCATCTGTCCCGGAGGAAGGCGTGGGCCGCAACTGCAGTCCGCCAGGCACCTGCTTGAGCCTGGGTGGAGTTGGAGGAAAGTGCCCGGCTGGGGCGGGGGGCAGGGAGGAGAGTCTGCTTAGGTTAGTCCCAGAGGCACCCTGAAGGTGGGGCTGAGGAAGAGGCCGCAGAGAATTCTAAAGGGGGCCTTGCTTGGGACAAAAGTGGTTTGTGTGTGCGTGTGTATGTGTGTGCATATGTGCGCGCGCGCGCTCGCTCTCTGGGTTGAACTGGGAAGTTGGATACTCCGTCAGTGTTCGCCGAGCAATTGAGCGCGCGCGTGCGCCCTGCGCGCGTACCCTGCAGGCCAGGCACATCACTCCAACCACACGCTGGGGCAAATAAAAGTGGGGCCAGAATGCGGCTGAATGACACCTTGCATTCTTTCGATGAGACCGGATTCTTAGCCAGGGCGCTCTCTTCCAAGCCGGGAAATCAATTAATTTTCCTCGGCCTCCCCCCGCCCCGCCCCCGCTCCGGTAAGCTTTTCCAAATCCGCATTCCCCCAAGAGGAAGGCGGGCAGGACCGCCTTTGAAAAGTGGATCTTAATAAAAATAACCCCGCAAATCGGCCCCTGGGGCTTCCGGGGCCTGCACGTCCTCCCCTCTCTCTTTTTCTGGGCTGCAACTCGGAAAACGACTCCTGCAAAGCGGAAGGGGCCGGCGCCTGCGGCAGCGAAGACCTTCCGGGATTGCGGGGATCCAGGCTGAACTCCGGAAAGCTCTCCCGCCCCTTGGCAAGCGCGGACGCACCGATCTACTGCACCACAGAGTCGGTAGTTCGCACTTAAGAAAACTTATGCTGGGGTGCTCGTGAGTAAGGGAAGGGGACAGGACGGGGGAAGGGCGCTGTTCCAGTAAGAAACTACTCCAAACATTGTTTAGCCAAGTCTTAACACATTTTGGAGAGAATCAATAACCAGGTTGACGTCTTAGAACCCAGACTTTTGTGTAGTTTATTAAACGTTTTTTTTAAAACATTTAAGAGCAGGTAACTTCCCCAAAAGAAACGTAGTCCAAGGGGACAGAACTATTCTGATTGAACAAGTAGCTCTGTCAATCAGTTAAACCCTAGACTCCGGGTGCGCAGAACTTGGGGGCGGGGCAACCCGGGGGCGGGGCAAGCGGAGGCGAGGCTCCCGGGGCGTGGCTTTCCTGTCTCCGCCCCCGCATTTTGCATTCTGCGTTTCCCGGCCCCTCGTGCACTCACTCCACACCCACTTGTGATCTGGTTTAAGAGACCGGGTTGGAGGGAGGTTGCGGAGCGGGGGATTGCGGGGGAGGGGGTGTGGGTGGGAATCAGCGCAGGCGGGGAAGCTGCGATGTCTGAATCTCACACCCCCTTTAGCCTCCCAGCCCTAGAGCCACCTTTCATCCTAGGTAAAATCTGAATTGGGGAGGGCAAAAAAGGAATTAGGTTCAGGAACGAACACACGGCACAGAACTCCAAACCCTTCCTTCCCCCTAGCCCCGCGCTCCTAAAGTAGTCTTTTTCTTTCTGGGAGGAAATAAAAGGCATTTTGCAGTTAAATATGTTTTGCCATCGACCACAATCAATCATATTAAACCAAAAGCAATGGTTGTGCACGTGGGAGGGGCATCGAGGCCCCCACCCAAAAGGCATTAGGGTGTGTGTGTGTGTGTGTGTGTGTGTGTGTGTGTGTCTAGGGTTGGAGGGATAGAAACGTCAGGAGGCACGGGGGTAGGGGTGCAGGGCTGGGGCTGGGAGGGACAAAGGTGGAATTAGCTCAGAAGATGGGTAAAGCCTCTCTCTCCAGGCTCCAATTAAAACAATATTTTAACAAAAGAGATTTTTTTAATGTCTGCAAAAAACGTATGGGGAATGGGGGAGGGAGTTGATAATGGAACACACACGCTTTCAGACAGAAGATTGGGTACCGGGGGCATCTGGACCTTGAGACCGAATAGGAGCTCAGAGTCAGTATTCGGATGGGGTGCGTGGGGGGGGGGCGGGGGAGGGGGGGGTAGGGGGATAGGGGGAAGGAGAACGAGCGAAAACTGGGAGAGGCTGGGCTAGACAGCAGCCCAGGGGAACAGGATCGGCTAGGGCTCCAATTCTGAGGTGCAAGGACCCTCCCCAACTGCTCCTGGGCTACACCCCAGCTCTAAGCCACTTGCTGCGCAAAGCGCACCGGCCCAGCCCGTCTCGTGTCCCCCGCCCGTGCGCCGCGTTACTGACTGGCACATTGAGCGCGCTCACCGATCTTGGCTTGCTCCCGGTAGCTCTTTTCGTTGAGGCAAACCCCGCGGCCGTGCAGCAGGGCGTGCAGCGGCTTCTCCTCGTCCTGCCGGGGAAGGCAGCGCAGCCCCTGGGCGCAGCGCTCCGTGTAGACGCCGCACGACTGCCCCTCGGCCAGGGCGCAAGTCATGCAGCAGCCACAGCCCGGCTCCTTGACCAGCTCGCAGCCCAGGGGGCTGGGGGGGCACATGGAGAGGGCTTTCTCGTCGCAGGGCTCACAGTGCACGAAGGAGCCCAGGCCCTGGGCCGGCCCCGCGCAGGCGGCCAGCAGCAGGAGGACCGCGGTGAGCACCATCTTCTCCGAGTCTCCCCTTTGCCTCCGGGCGGGGCAGGAGAGCGAGAGTGCAGGGATAAAGGGGCCAAGAGGGCGCCTGGAGAATTTTTTTTTTAAAAAAAATCTCTGGCAGGTAGAGCAGGTGTCCTCCCCCAGACACTTGCAAAATGTAGGGAGAGATGGGAGACTGGGATGTCTGCAAGCAAGTCTCAATTGCAAGGATTAAAACCTTGCAACAGGTTGGGGGGAAAAAAGGGCAGCGCTAGGTGCACGCAGAGTGAGCGGAGGCCAGAGAAACCCCCAAGCCGGATCTGGTCAGAATTGTAGGGGGAAAGCAGGCACAAACTTGTTCACCCCAAAGCAACCACCGAAATAATGAGCTCAGAGGCTGTCGAGTTGGGGGTGGGGAAAGAAAAATGGATTTGTCTTCAAAAATTTTGTTTAAAATCTAAAACACACCCCGCTCCTGTCTAACCCCCGGCTGCCAGCGGCGCGCGGCTGCCGCGGAACAGGTAAGCGGCTTTGGCTGCAGCCGAGATGGTGGGAGAAAATATTGAAATCAAGAAATTAAAAAAAAAACAAAAAACCAACCCACCCAAATCCTAACACCTCCTTTCTCCCACTCTGCCACCACTTCTTTGAAATTCGCAGGTTCTGTGTGAAGTCCGGAGAAGGGTGCAAACGGAGGAAGGGGGAATTAAAAGGAGTGGAAAAAAGAAAAAGCCCACACCGCTTTGCTGCTCTTTCGGAGAGCTCTTTCCCCAGCAGAAGTTTCCAAAGAGACTACGGGCTCCGAGCGAGCAGGCGCTTTTAAATAGACGGCCGCTGGCTGCCAGCCAGTTTGTAGCTGCAATTTGAGCTCCCCAACACCCAACCCAGGCAAGAATGCCAAGGAGCTTTGCTGAACAAACTCACACGGGGTGGGGGTGGGGAGAGGCCTTCTAGACACAAGGGGGCTCCCCTTCGCTCCCAGCCTGCGCCCTCCTCCCCCCGGAATGTAGGAAAGGGGCAAGGGGGACCGGCTGGGGCTACCGCGGGGGAGGGGAGGAGGTACAGGGGCGAGTGGAAGAGTTCTTTGGAGCAGGGTGGACACAATGAGGAGAGGAACTCGGTCTCCCCCTCCCTCCTATCCCTGAACTAATCAAGGCACCGGGTGGAGGGAGAAGCGTTTTCTTATTAGCCAACTGGATATATACGGTGCCCAAGAATCTTCCCAAGCTTTGGAAAACGACTGTCTGCTGGTGTCTAAGTTACTATGTTAAGGTGTGTGTGTGTGTGTGTGTGTGCTCCCGGGCGTGAATGCAAGTGTGTATGTTTGGGGGACCGGTAGTGTAGAATGGCCAGTGATGGCTGGTGAGCTGAATTTTAAAAAAAGAAAGGAAAAGAAGAAAAATGGAATTCCTCCCTCCTACCCAGATCTAGAGAAAAGGATTTAATCAAAGGTGTTTCTGTTGCTCATGGGGTGACTGTTTTTGGTCATGTGGTCAAGAGGTGGCCACTTTCCTTCAGCTACATTGTTGGCCAGGGAAGGTGTGTGTGTGTGTGTGTGTGTGTGTGTGTGTGTGTGTTGTGTACTTGCAAGGAGGGGCATTCTTACAACAGCCTTGTTGGGAGTTGCAGAAACTGACACTTTGGAGGAAATGCTGTTAACTCTGAAAACCTTACCTGGTGACCTGAAGTGTCCTTGTGTTTGGGGTTTTTAGAGGGAGGAGAAGTGGCTTGGAGTGATACTTACCCGGCTGTTGTTTTACAGGGCCATTTCTGTTGGGCAGGGCCAAATCCCTGGAGGGAATGGGTAACAGACTAGAGGGAGACCTTGTTATAAGGTTAATGGGTGCTCATGGGCACATCCCGGGGAATATGAGCTGACAGGGCCACAGGACCTGCTCGGAAGAGATCCTGACCAGGGACATTCTCATGCCACCTGAAACCTCAGACAGTCTATGGGGACACTATGGACCCCTTCTTTCTTTCATAAAATGAAAGAAAACAAAAGCCTTGAAAGAAGAAAGGTGGTGATTTTAGCTTTTTCTGAAATTGACACGGGTGGGCCATGGCCCTCACAGGCAGGTCAGAGAGAAATGACTAATGTCACTGTCCTGTTGGGAGGACTTGGGGTGACACTGTCATGCCTTTTACATTGCCTCTCTTCCCTGGAGAAGTGCTCTAATTTTCCTTTGGAGAAGGGGCTGCATTTCATGAAGTTTGCCACTAGACTGCACCCTTATCTATGATAAGAATTCTTTCTGGAGGATTGCTTTTAAGAAAATATTTTCCCTTGCTAGTTCAGTTCGGGAGCATCTCACTTTATGCTGTTAACATACTTAGATCCTGATCTCTCTTTCACGTATCTGTTTGCCGAAAGGCACGTTTTAAAACAAGGCTAAAGTTTAAAGTTGTGCCTTTGCTTGTATTGCTGGAGGGGTTTAAGGCGTTGGTTGGGAGAGGGAGGAGAGCTGCGTGCAACGATTAAAAAAAAAAATAGCAGCAAGGCTCGTTCCAGTTGATTCTCCCCTTTGTCTGGGGGCTTGGTAAGGTAGGAGCACATTAATAGCCAAAGCTTTTAAAAATATTTCAGAAGCAAGAGGGATCGTGTGTTATTTTCTTATTTGTGACAAGTGCAGACTACAAGAGTGGCAGCAGAGTGTGTAATGTGTGTTCTGGTCCCTGCTCTGATTTCTTTCTGCACACCTTTAGCAGTGCAGTCCACTCCAGGTACACTGGTAGGATTTGCAATGAATGGGGAAATTGTGTGCTCCTTCCAAAGAAACATGAGTTGCCTAGTGCCAACCACCCTGTATTCCAAGAGAGGTGGCCTCCAGTGACACGTCTTTTTGTCTAGCCGACTTCCAGTGGCTTGGCAATACAATGTGTGAGGACAGGTAAAAGGAGGAGGGGATGATTCATAGAGAGGAAGAAAAGTGCACAGAGGAGAGAGTCGCCTTTGGGGCAGGAAGGGGGGGCTGCGGAGAGAGGTTACTCTGCAAGACTGAAAATGTTAAGCAACCTTTCTTAATCTCCATTTAGAAATGGCTATGTCATGAGGGATTCAGGGACTGGATTCAGGGCTGTCCAAGAGACCTGGGATTGGCTTCCCTGGAGAGCATGCGAGAAAGAAGGATTCTCAGTGGCCTGGGATTGTCTTGAGGGATTTCATCCATGGGGACTGGCAGGATGGATTTTGCCTCCGAGAGTCCATAATTACTAGACGATAGTGGAGTGGGAAGGTGTTGGTTCTGTGATTACAGATTGTGGGATGATGGGGCGGACCTGTGAGTCTTTCTTGACTCCATTTTCCCCTCCCTTCCACTCTGAAGGCCTACATCTGTTTGAAATCACTCTTTAGAAGATTTCATCTGAAAAAAAAAGTACTTTGCCTCAACCAGGGTAGTTGGGATGGGCTGATTCATTCCTGTCACACACAAATGTCAGAGGCTGGGACCTTCCTTGCTGCCCACTTGTTTTCACTGCCACGGGCTTCCCAACTCTGGCCTAGACCAGCTTTGATACCTTTCAGCCATGTCTTTCTTGGAGAAGTAGGAAGTTAAATATATCCAATTGTGCCCCATTTTCCCAGGGATCACCCTTTTCCTTTCCTTTAAGAGATTCACAGCCTATCAGAATTAAGTTTCAAGAAGTGCAACAGAGTGACCGATTTGCTCTCTTTCATTTGGACAACTTTTCAAAAGGTGAGTAGCAGTTTTATTTTATAAAGCTTCAGAGTCCTTGCCTGTGGTCACTTTCTGTGAGTTTCTAGGTGATTCTCAAGGTAAGAATGATGCCTGATATCATGGTTTGAGAAAGCTAGACTTTTTAATAGACACAAAGTATCATGAGTTCTTCTAGTTGGGAAAGAAAAGTGTCAGCTGAGGGTCTTGTCTTCATTCTCTTCTATGCGTTGCTCTCACCACTCTCAGGCAGGCTTGTCATTTATTCCTCATGTCATTTATTCCTCATGTCATTTATTCCTCATGTCATTTATTCCATTTGCAAGACCTCATGGACTTCTGTCCCTTTCCCAAAGGCAAGCACACATCAGGCACACTAATGCTGCAGCCTTATTGGGATTCTAAATTAAGGCACAGTGACCTTCAAGGATGAAGGACCATTTGCTCAGGTCCTTCCCTAGACCTGGGAAGTTCAGCAGGACCGAGGTCTGTGCAGAAAGACAGGCTTAAGGCAGCTTTGCTGTAGTGACGTCGCTGAAGGCTAGGTGGCAGAATAGATACATCATTACAAACACCCCTCCTTCCACAAAGGGACAGAAGCAGACGGTAGAAGTCTTTAACAATGGGGATGGGGATGGGGATGGGGAGAAAGCACAAGTGTGGTTGGGGGACACTTGTCAACGTGCTGGGGGTCCACTTCTTGCTGCCCCAGCCTCAGCACTGCCACCATTCCTGTGACAACACCAGTCCAGCCTGAGGTGCAAGATCCTCCAAGTCCCGCCAACAGCTGTGTTCACGGTTACTTTATTTGGGAGACAAGGTACAGCCAGGTCAGAAGTTGATGACTTTGGGTTCATCAAAGGATGTCCTAAACCTTCTCAGACCAATAATCACAGTGTGATCTTTGGCCAAAATGCATAAAAATTTTAAAATGTGAATTATGGCGTATTTCGAACAATCAAAGAACAGAATATAATATAATATAATATAATATAATATAATATAATATAATATAATAGGTATCCTCTGCTCCACACACTCACTTAACACATGTTAACATTTTGCCTTCCTTGTTGAAGATTTTGTTAAAAGAGAAATACAGTGTGACAGGTGGTAGCTCAGCTCCTGCTGCGCCCCACCCAATGCCCTGCCCTTGCCAGAGGTAGCCACTCTCCCCAAATACTTCTGTATCCTTTCTGCACAATGTTTTTCTAAGTTTTCTATGAGATTTCTTGTAGAACTGAGTTAGAATGATTTTTGAGGGTGAAACCAAGTGCTACTTTAGAGTTAATTTTGTTGTGGTGCTTGCAGTGGTGGTAATTTAACTAGAGTCTATTGACCCTAAGGCTGGCTGTTAAAGGAGCTGGAGCCAGCCATGACTCAGAGTGATTTATATCCCTGTGTGAGCAGTATATAAGTTAATAGTTTTACGAATTGATGTTTAGGAGGATTCCAGACAGATAGGGCAGAACGAAGCGGGCTCCATAAATACTGTTTCTGGTTGGAGCCCTCCTGTCCTCTTGGATCATGGGATCTGGCATACTCCTACAGTGGACAGCATGGAAGCTGTGTTTCAATTTTGGAAAATGAAATTAACCAGGAAAAGTGATCTGCTGTGACTTAGAAGACAGTGTCGAGGAGAGAGGGAGATATAGGAATGACGGAATCACATGGAATAAGAGGAGAGAGACGGGATGTTAACTGCTTGAAGCAGATTGAATATGATGCATTTAAACAGTGAAAAGGCCAAATAAAATCACAGTGCCTGGTGGGAATCTAGGTTTCACACGGTTCAGGAGGGAGACGTGGTAAGAGCTAGCTTACCACTGTGGCTAGTGCACAGAGCAAATTTGTGTGAATCAGGAAAAGATGCCCTTCCTCAAGATACTTGACTTCTGTTTATCAGAAAATTGTTATAAAATATAGATTCTATTAGGAGAAGAAACTTTAATGCTTCTTCCAGGAAATTGCCATATGACTGTATGTGTCATTGTGATGCCTACTATGTGGGTAGTGCCACTTATATGGGACTCTGGCTGTGCGGAACACAGTCTGGAGAGCTGTATGAGGCAGCCCTGGTTGGAAGAGTTGAGCCTGGTTTCGGAACCATCAGGAAACACTGCTTTTCTACTAGTG